ATGCATTATTCTGGACCCCTATTCTAAAGTGTTACCAAAAAATTAGAATAAATAATAATAATAATAAATAAGTGCATTTTAAAATAAATGATTGGATGGATGATTCAGCCACGAGCACCATCTTCTGGTGAGACGTGGGAATTCATTCAGCGTGCAACTCTCGCAGCGCTTCATGGGTATTCTCTAGCATCATTTGTATACTCATTATTGCGGTGAACTGTGGGATTGAATGAGTGCACATGATAATGTCCAGTAATGTTTCGGGCACCACTAAAAATGGCTGTCCCTTCATATAGTGCCCTTTTAAAAAGTATAGGAGCAATTTTGGACACAGCTTTAGTAATCCTGAAGACACTGATTAGCTTATTCAGGTGTGTTTGATCAGGGTTGGAGCTAAACTCTGCAGGACAGCAGCTCTCCAGGACCAACGTTCCCTACCGCTGATCTAGACAATTTCCAATTTGAGCTGCAGTAGCTTGTCTGTTGGATTGGAGCACACGGGCCAGCCTTCGCTCCCCACATGCATCAATGAGCCTTGGCTGTCCATGACCCTGTCCCCGGTTCACCACTGTTCCTTCCTTGGACCACTTTTAACAGATACTGACCTCTGCAGACCGGGAACACCCCACAAGAGCTGCAGACCCAGTCGTCTAGCCATCACAATGTGGCCTTTGTCAAACTCGCTCAAATCCTTACGCTTGGCCATTTTTCCTGCTTCTAGCACATCAACTTTGAGGACAAAAAGTTCACTTGCTGCCTAATATATCCCAAACTAACAGGTGCCGTGATGAAGAAATAATCAGTGTTATTCACTTCACCTGTCAGTGCTTATAATGTTATGCCTAATATATATATATATATATATATATATACACACACACACACACACACACACATATGTACGACTGTTATGTTGATCCCACTGTGTTACAAAAATGTCACCTGTTCAGCCGTTTTAATTTGAACTAGAGCGCAAAATTAGTGAGGACGAAAACATCAAAGACGTTCAATATCAATTAAATCAAAGCGAAGAAGATCAGAGTGTTGAAGAAATGAGAGTGGGGCAAAATGGATAGTGTCTCTGGCTTTCGCACAAGAGAGGAACTAGGAACAATTTTAGTTCTAGGAACTCCTTTTACAGGATCTAAATTACATAAGTGTACACTCACTGGCCAAACACATACAAAACACCAGCACTCTGCATTTTTGAAAAGCCATGTAAACATATTTATTTCATGAACATGGAAACCAGCGATAACGGCATTTACCTGTTGTCTGCAGCATTGTGTTCTTTTATCCGCCTCGAGCTGTCTTGGAGATTTCGTCTCTCTGCACCACTTTTTGCTCTTTCGGTCGTGTAAATTATGTGTTTACATTCCATCTTTGTTATCACGTTATCGCCGATCGCAGCGTCCTTCATCCACCGGTTGTTGGCGTTTGTAAATGCCGCACTTTAAGACGCCAGTGTCGGCCAGTGCAAATGCAACCAGGAAAATGGCCGGGGGGGAAATTAGTTCTCTAGGAACTGTCCTAGCGGCTAGTTCCTATAACTGAGTTTCAATAATTACACAGTGCTAAAGACCTTGTGGCTATTGCCTGCCTAACCGAGAGGGAGAACATTTGCTGTAAGGAGCTGCAATTTCTCACTATAGCTGTTCAAGGTAAATTTATGGATTGAACTACTGTTGTATGATTGATGTGTAAAAATCATCTGATATGTCACCCAAATGCATTACACACAGTGAAATATGCTAAGAAATGTGTATTCCAAGTTGTGCAGTAAAAATAGCGACAGGTAGCGCCAGCAGCTCACCGAGTGCAACCATCTGACGTCATCGTCATGCTCACCTAAATTAATGGTGCCCTCCACTGTCTAAAATTTGCATAAAACTATGTGTATTTAAAAAAAAAACGTAAATCTTTCATGGGTTTTACTATATATTTCAGTAAGAGACATCATGTATTTTATATTAAGCCATACAGGTCTTAAAGGGGTCATATGATGCTATTTTAAAGATCATTATTTTGTGTATTTGGTGTAACAGAATATGTTGACATGCTTTAATGTTCAAAAAACACATTATTTTTCAAATACTGTACATTATTGTAGGTCCTCTATGCCCCGCCTCTCTCAAACACGTAGTTTTCAACAAAGCCCCCTCCTTTGACAAGCACAGTCTGCTCTGATTGGCCAGCTGAACCAGTGCATTGTGATTGGCCGAACACAACAAGCACGCGTCGGAAATGTAACGCCCCTTACCATAATAGCAAGCTTCATCTTTCAAAATAAATGTAAAGACAGGAACACCACAAGCACGCGTCGGAAATGTCGGTAAATCCCTTACCATAATCGCGAGCGTCAGCTTTCAAAGTAAATACCAAGACAGTAAATAATGTCGTTAGTTTTACCATCAGTTCAAGCCCGAAAGGGCAAAAGAGTCGCGTGACAGACACAGTGATGATGCAGTACACAAACCTTCCTTCTGTAAATAATGCCCATCGTCACACCCTGCTTGAACCACTGGGGGTCCTTCCAAGGGGCCAGAGTTGACACGCAGGCCTGGCTCACCTTGACACGAAACCGTGACGCCACGCATGGGACAGAACTTGCGGTTCCAGCCAGTACTGAAGGGGTCTCATGCGAAGCAGGCCCAACTGTAGTACCAGCAATGCAGAGGCAATGAGGCCTAGCATCCTTTGAAACACTTTGAGGGGACGAGAGGCTCCAACTTTGAAGGAAGCCACGAGCTGCTGTATGGCCGGTGCACATTCTGGTGTGACTACTGCTCCCAGTAACGAGGTTCATTGGCTGGGAGACAGTGAGCTCTTGGCAAAATTGATCCTGAGTCCCAGGCATTCTAAATGGCTGAGGAGGAGGGGTCCGTGAGATATTAGCCCGGCCTCCGACTGGGCTAAGATGAGCCAGTCGTTGAGGTAGTTCAGAATACGGATTCCCATCTGTCTCAGAGGGGAGAGAGCCGCATCTATGCACTTCGTAAAAGTGCGAGGAGCCATGGACAGTCCGAAGGGAAGGACCGTGTATTGATATGCCACTCCCTTCCAACTGTAGTACCAGCAATGCAGAGGCAATGAGGCCTAGCATCCTTTGAAACACTTTGAGGGGGCGAGAGGCTCCAACTTTGAAGGAAGCCGCGAGCTGCTGTATGGCCAGTGCACATTCTGGCGTGACCAGGAATGAGGTTCGTTGGCTGGGAGACAGTGAGCTCTTGGCAAAATTGATCCTGAGTCCCAGGCATTCTAAATGGCTGAGGAGGAGGGGTCCGTGAGATATTAGCCCGGCCTCCGACTGGGCTAAGATGAGCCAGTCGTTGAGGTAGTTCAGAATACGGATTCCCATCTGTCTCAGAGGGGAGAGAGCCGCATCTATGCACTTCGTAAAAGTGCGAGGAGCCATGGACAGTCCGAAGGGAAGGACCGTGTATTGATATGCCACTCCCTTAAAGGCGAATCTCAAGAATCGCCTGTGGTGGGGGGCTACCTGGATGTGAAAGTATGCATCTTCCCGATCCAGAGAGAAGAACCAGTCCCCTGGGTCTATTTGTGAGAGGATCTGTTCCAAAGTAGTTCTCCTGAATGGCCGTTCAGGTGCCTGAGATTGAGGATGGGCCGGAGGCCACCATCCTTTTTGGGGACGAGGAAGTAGCAGCTGTAGAAGCCTGACTCGCTCTGGGCTGGCGGAACCAACTCTATAGCTCCTTTTGGCCAGTAAATTCATCCCCTTGAGCGCAGGACGTGAGTGTCCATGCTCTGCACTAAGGTGGGGACCACACCGCTGAATTGCGGGGATTTTCGAGCGAACTGAAGTGAGTAGCCTCGTTTTATAAGCCCCAAAAACCCAATCTGACACTCCGGGGATGGACTGCCAGACCTCGGCCCTTTGTGACAAGAGGTTGGATTGGTTCGAGTGGTAGGCCGCCTTGTGGGGACCCAACACACGTGATAAGTGTAAGAGAAAATATGGTCTCCTTTTTCTCGCTGTAACAGCGGCTGGTTGTGTGGGCGCTATTTGAACTGGACCAGTGTTCACAACCGTAATTACAACAAACACACTGCCATCAGCACCCGGAATTGAATGGGGTGCTTGGAGGCATAAGAGAGGCTGTAGTGCTTTGCTAAACTCAATGCTCTTGCAGCTAGAGCAGTCAGACCCCGTGGGCGTGGCCTCAGCGTGGGTGTGGCCCAGACGCGTCCGACCCTGAAGCTGTCAGTGATAATAATCACTAATGACAGCATTCTCTTTAAATCTGCCTAAAAAGATCAAACCACTCGTGGCAGAGGGGCACTGAAGATCCTTATGTGTACACACATCGGCAGATCAAAGGTGCTGCGCGCATCCTCTTAGATCCGTTCGTAGCAGATGAGGAGAGGGGCGGAGCCGCCTTCATTGAAGGCGAAATCATGAGCAAAGCAGAGTGAGACACAAACTCTCGTAATGAAAGCTGTCTGTCTAGTGACTGCAGCCTCAGCGTGGGCGTGGCCCAAGCGCACTCAAATAGAAGCTGTCAGTAATATTGTAAATCATAGGTGACAGCATTATGCTCTGATCTGCTTTGAAGGATTAAGCCGCTCAAAAAAACAAGAGGTGCTAATCCTCAGTGTAAACACACTTGCAGATCAAAGCGCTGTGTGCAGAGTGAAACACGCGGGGCTATGCTGGTGCGAAAAATCACTCAAGCCTGATCACTCAACCCCACGATTTTACCATCTCTCTCTCCGAGGTGACTGGGAGAAGAGAAACGTGAGAGCGGGGGAGGCGGGGCCTCCCAGCGCAGCATTCTATGATCCGCCTAGAAGGATTGAGCCACACGATGTAATGAGGGGCGCTAATCCTCAGGTGTTAACACATGCTGGCAGATCAAAGTGAGCATGCGGGATGTATGAAAGCAGCCTGTCTGTGTGAGCGCAGCTTCAGCGACGCACAAACAAATGCAAAACTGTAAACGTTAGCTTTCTACTCCAATCCGCCTAAGAGGATAGAGCCGCTCAATGTAATGAGGGGCGCTGATTCTCAAGTGTAAAAACACCAGCGGATCAGAGCGCTGCGGGAAGAGCGAGCATGCGATCTCTGTGCTGGTGTAGGATCACTCAAACCCGGTTGCTCAGCTCCGTGGCTCTGTTTTTTCATTCTCCGAGCTTTGCTGAGAGAGGAGAAACGGGAGAGCGGAGCTGCCTTCATTGAAGGCGGTCAGCGAGCGGAGAAGAGTGAGACTCATACTCTGAGTGAGAGCATTCCGTCACAGTGAGCGTGCAGCCTCTGTGTGGGCATTACCCAGACCGAAGACGCGCACACTGCCCTTCTGTAGTGTGACATTTGCAACAACATCGCTAGAAATTTGCTCTTTTATAACTCACCGGATGGCAGCTGGGGACGAGCTGAGGGCTGCGTGGGCGCTGAAAGCGGCTCGGGCTGAAAGCGCAGAGTGGGAACAGCAGAGCGGCGCAGCTTCAGCTTCTGTCTGCAGCGAGGCGTGTCAACAGCTTAAAGTCTCGTGGGTCAGCGAAGAGAAGATCGTCGTCGCTGAAGGAGAATTAATCTGAGATCCTATGGCGAAATGCCCGCTTATATAGCCAGATGGCCCCCACCATATGTCACATCTGAGAAATCATTTATCTCTGTGTGATCTCTGTGTAAGTGTCCCATCTTCCTGGGAATTGAACCCACAACTTTTTTACACTGCTAACGCAATGCTCTACCACTGAGCCACAGGAACACTATTCATATTATATTAAATATATTAATATAAATGTTACATAAAATGCATAATATAAAATGGGCCTACAAAAAAACATTTGTATCCATCCTACAGTCTTGTAAGTCCATTAACTGATCGTCTTTTTCCCATAATATTTGTATATTCTTATTATTATTAGCCTATTATTATTGGTTATATTTTTATATTCGTTTATATTCACTTTTCCCTTAATTTCGATCTCTTTACTTAAAGTTCTGAATACTTTTGTAAATAATACCCTACTGTAAATGCTCGACATGCCAATAAAGCTTTGATTTTTCTGACTGGAATTTTTGCTAGAATGCAGTTTAAATTTAACATGTATTTCATTTTATTTCAGCTAATTAATATACCATAATTATAAATAGGCCTACTACAGTGTTTCGTTGAGGAATTAATAATTAACGTAGTTTCATTTGTAAATGAAAACACAACACGCTCATTTATCATCACACATGGGCATAAATACAATCATAAAGTCAAAACTTTATTGGCATAATTGTCAGGCGTTCACTATTCATATTATATTAAATATATTAATATAAATGTTACATAAAATGCATAATATAAAATGGGCCTACAAAAAAACATTTGTATCCATCCTACAGTCTTGTAAGTCCATTAACTGATCGTCTTTTTCCCATAATATTTGTATATTCTTATTATTATTAGCCTATTATTATTGGTTATATTTTTATATTCGTTTATATTCACTTTTCCCTTAATTTCGATCTCTTTACTTAAAGTTCTGAATACTTTTGTAAATAATACCCTACTGTAAATGATGGACATGCCAATAAAGCTTTGATTATGCTGACTGGAATTTTTACTGGAATGCAGTTTAAATTTAACATATATTTCATTTTATTTCGGCCAATTAACAGACCGTAATTATAAATACTATAGTGTTTTGTTGAGGAATTAATCATTCACGTAGTTTAATTTGTAAATGAAAACACAACATGCTCATTTATCATCACACATGAGCATAAATACAATCATAAAGTCAAAACTTTATTGGCATAATTGTCAGGCGTTTATTTGCCAAATGTATGGTAGGCTAGCAAATACTAGCATAATTATACAAAACGTTAACTAGGTAAAGCGATACACAAATTGAATGGGAAAATAAGCATATATATATAGCTATATATAAAAATATAGCTCTACTAAGTTAATGTAATAATAATAATAAATACAATACAATACAATAAATGTTTAATGTTAATAAAAATGTTTTATCTATCTCTGATAATCCCAGGTTGCTATGGTCACACAGGTTTTTTTACGCATTAAACTCATGGCAACGAGAAAAATATGTCGTTCCCTCAACATAAGAAGTCGTGGCCACGAGAAATGGATGTCGTTCCCTCGACAAAATAATCTCGTGGCCACGACATAATATTACGTTCCCACAAGTTAATATGACGTTCCCACAAATTAATATCTCGTGGCCGCGACATATTATCACGTTCCCACGAGTTATTATGTCGTGGCCATAAGTGAACCGAGCCGAGTGAACTGACTGGGCACCGTACATTTCTAATCTAGCCAAATAAATAAAAAAAATACCATATATCACCCCAAAACTCCACAACTGTAGAGTAAAAACATTAACAAAAAAAAGTGAAATTACATGTGATTGTTACATATTCAAAAGGAGGAACTACTTACAAAGACAATAGCTGTGTTTCCACTGCCGGGCCAAAAGAGGGCATGCTAGTACGTGCCAGGTCCAGTCACATTTCCACTTCACTTCGGGTGCTTGATCGTGCCTCGTCGGGGATCCTCGGGGCCAAAGGCTGGGGTTTTTTGGCCCGCCGAATACCTTGGGCCAGCTGGGGCATGAGGAACAAAGGCAGAGTTTACTTGAGTCTGGAGAGTGTCAGCCCCGTGGATCATTTCACACAGCCATCAGCATTAAAGGCTTTTAAAATCTTTTTTGCTCAAAACTCACTTTCAGATAGCAGCAAGTGTTTGAAATAACTTCTGCTTGCGATCCGATGTGGATTTTGATCACTGCTTAAGACAGATATAGTTATATGCAATGCAAAAGACTATGCGTGCTTTACCATGGTAAACATGGTAAATATGACAGTTTGAAGAAATCAGACAAATCATACCCTGCTAACAAAAATATGTAACTGTTACATAACTGCAAAGTAATCTGTTGACCAATGTTTTGTTTTGGCAACCGGTATCCTGGATTCGTGGCTACGTTGTAGATCAATAGTTGTGTGCTGGTAATCAGTTGGTAATTGTTATATTTATTTATTTTCTATAGGTGGACATGCAGTAGTTTAAACTAATTTATGTCCTCATTTGCCCAAACTAATTTAAAGGTTATTTCAACAGCTGTGAATGAGGTAGGCAGACTTAACGCGACATCGTAGATACGTTGTCAATTGGTAAGTCATGACATTACCAAAAAGTATGAATACATTACGTAACTGTTATGGCGTGTGTTAGCAGGGTAGGCTATCACAGTTGTGTATTTATTTGGTTACATATTTTAAATGTCAATACGTCTCGTCTTTTTATACCTGACTGTCTTTCATATTTAGCTCTGCGCATGTCAGAAAATAAAGTATACTCGGAAAGCTTTGTCTGTTTCTCTGACTGAAAATATAACACTTTATTGGGACTGGAGAGAGTGCTAAAGCTCCTCAGGTCGTATTTTTGGTGGAAAAAATGACTCGGTGAATGGAAACAAACAAGAATTACAGTATATGTCCACTTAAAATATTAATTCAAACAAATGTATTTGTTCTGGACTGAAACACCTCATAACCACAATCCTGTCACTGCAATTCATCTGTCCCTAAGCAGACATTGTAAACTAATAAATAACAGATTGAGATCATCACATGTTGATGCTATATTAATTTTTTCTATGTTGCAGATCACGTCACGATGCCACACTTATAAATCCAGGTCCTCCAGCACTTTACACACTAAAAACTGAAAGAAAATGTATTCATGGGACTAATAGAAAGCTGAGACGATGGACATATGGACAAAAAGACAGAAACAAACCGAACAAAGTCATACTGATGGTGGGAGAAACCGGCGCTGGGAAAACAACCATCATTAACACCATGATCAACTACTTACTGGGAGTGAAGTTTGATAATCAAGAGTTTTATCAAATCACAGAAGAAGAAGATATAGATGAAACACAATCCCAGACACGTGATATCTCTGTTTATGAGGTGTTTGTTGAAGAAAACCCAACATCTCTGACCATCATTGATACTCCAGGATATGGAAACACGGAAGGATACAAGAAAGACAGAGAGATTTCTGAATGTCTGAGCAGATTATTCTCGGATGAGGATGGGATTCATTATATTGATGCAGTGTGTTTTGTGATGAAGGCGTTTCAGAATCGACTCTCTGGAAAAGAGCTTTACATCTTTCACTCAGTTCTGTCTCTGTTTGGTAGAGATATAGAGGAGAACATAGTGTTTCTACTCACACAGTCAAACGGGCAACATCCAAAAGATGCTCTCAATGTAATTAAGAAAGCACAGATTCCCTGCAGAAAAGATGGGAAAAAACAACCTGTTTACTTGTTATTCAACAACCAACAGAAAGAAAAAAGACACAAACAATATGATCAGATACTCAGATCATCATGGGAAATGGGAGAAGAAAGCATCAATGAGTTCTTCACACTCCTGAAAGAAAAGAACAGAAAAAGTGTTGTGATGACATTAGATGTTCTGAAAGAGCAAAAACAACTCGAGGCCTGTGTCGACAATCTGAAGGAGCGAATCTCTGAGGAGGAGTCAAAAATGAAAGAACTGAGTCAGATTCAGGAAGCTGTCAAAGATCTCAGACACAAGATTCAGAAATGTGAAAACTTTCAGTTTACAGTCAAAACAGCTGTGAAAGAAAAAGTCTCCACTAAAAATGAATGGCTGTGGAAGAGAAATGTAACATCCTGCTCCGACTGTGAGGAAAACTGTCATGAGAGCTGCTTAATGGATGAAGAACCTTCAACGTGTTCAGTCATGAAAAACAGTCAATGCACTGTGTGTACAGGGAAGTGTCATTATAGCAAACATGTCAGAGAGAACAAAAAATATGTGACAGAGACAAAGATAATCACTATGACATTTGTTGACCTAAAACAGGAGTATGAACGCACTGGTGAAAAGCCTAAAACCAACTTTGATAAAAAAATCTTTGAAAATATTACAAAGGAACATAAACAAGCCATGAACGAGTCTGAGAATAATACAAAAATAGAACAAAATCTGAAGAGCGATCTTGAGAAGATTAAAAATGAAAAGTCCCGACTGCTGCATGAAGCTTATGTGACCATCACGAGTCTGTCCGAGATCGCGTTAAAATCAGACAGCGCTTTCACTCTTCAACATCTGGATTTCTTGATTCCCAGGCTGAAGGAGGAGAGAAAAGATGAATGGATGAAGAACCTGAAGGATCTGAGGAAAGCTGGAGAAGAGAAGAATAATAAGGGGGCTTTACGGCACGTGATGGATTTCGCTGGGCAAAAATTGAAGCAATTTGACAATCGTGTAACTGGTAAAAATGCAACAAACTCTGAAAACATTAGATGAAAAAGCAGAAATGATGCTGATTCATCAGCGAAAATAATTTATTCTCCAAAGTACCTTTATGAAATTGCTTGAACATATGATATTTCTAATTTTAATTTTCATAAAATCTAAATTTGGTATAAAATAAGGAATCCGTATTGGGAATCACACAAATTGAACCAGTATGCAAAACATACAAGGAATGTGTCACCGGTATGAGGCACACACATCTATTATAATAGTTGCAGGCACCAGATACAGTGCTTCGCAGACAACAGCACAACAACAAAAATGCTTAAATAAAATAATAGTGCACTAAATTACAGTTTTACACAACAGAGAATGATAAAGATAACTTGAGTGTATAAGTCAGATTGCATTTAAAATCTTTATGGATAAAAAAAAAACACAGGACAGATTCCATCATAGCTCTGTAGAATTTGCACACAATTTCCCTTAAAATTCCCTTAAAAGAGGGGTCTCTCTTTTCATAGCACGGACCGGTTTTGTTTTGAAAATTTTCACATGGACCGGCAGGTGGGAACAGGAGTCGATCAGAGCAGACATTTAATAAACATAAAACCGTCAAATTGTGTCTCCATTTCAACTGCATACAGCAAACCATAACAAAACATTACGACTCACCATAATGCACAAGCATTGCTTGTTTCCCTGCAATATTACGCTCCTAAAGAAGAGGCGTGGGTGACAGTGAGTCTCGAAGCATGTTGCAATGGATCTGTATTTGATATCTGAAACACGTATTTCATACGTTTTTGTACTGTCATTTGCGAGACACATTTGCAATTGGGTCACAGACTATGCAGTTTTCTGAAATCACGCAGTGAAGGGGAAATGCACAATACAGTGGCATAGGCATATAAAATAGATGTTTTTTTCCCCAGAGCGTATCAACTCTTTCACGGCCCGGTACTGGAACGCAACCCAGTGGTTGGGGACCTCTGGGTTATACATCCTTAAAATGCAGTTGGTGATCTTTGGAGAGGCTAGCAATAGCTAGCTAGCTTTCAAATCATAACATCCCACCCTCCCTTCAGAGCGCTCTCAAAACCACGCCTCCTCCAAACACTGAATGAAGTCAGTCACACACACACAGCTGCTCTCGACAAGGCACCACGAGAGCACATGTCTGAAAGCACATAACACTGCAATAATAATGACCATAACAACTCGGAGAGTTTGTACCTGACTGCTGTAGCTTCATTCCGGTGTTGATACTGTTGATAAGGAAACTCATAATTCTGAGTCTGAGGACGTGAACAGTCACAGGATGCCGTTGTCTCTTAATTACAGTAGTTATGGCGTGGACGCAGCATAAGCTCATTGTTTTGATTCGGAAGTTACTGTAAAAGTTGGCTGTTGTTTTTTTGAGGCACTCAGTGACTGTCTGTCCATAACTCTGCTTTGAGTGAGACGCGCTGATGACGTGTGATGTCTGCGCGAACAGGGAGCGCAGAGGAATGCAAATCCGTTCGTTGATAGGCAGATAGGAAAAAAAACTATTATTTTAATCGGACCGAACGTAATGAGTGGATGAACATTTTTTGGTCCTGTACCTTCCACAGAAGATATATATTTATAAAAATACATTTAGACGATTTAACATAGTGACTGCTATCATGATACGAGGAAACATTCAACCAGCATAACAAAAAATGTTTCTGGAGAAGATCACCAACTGCACCTTTAATTGATGGAGGAAGTACATCCTCTGCTGTGCTTTCTGATAATATGGACAGTGTTCAATCAACCATATAGGATGTCATTTAGAAGGTTTTTTTTCCACTTAAGAAAATTTATTTTTTGAAATGCAGAGTGTCTAAGATTATGCTGCTTTTTCTCTGCATTATTGATTAGTGTTTTGTGAATGGACTATGCTTTATATTCCCCATATTTTCACAAAATTCATGTTCCTACATAAAAATGTGTAATGTAAAATGTGTAAACAAAATGTATGTGATTCCAGTGTGAATCATGTGGAGAAAAAAATCTTTAAAATGGTTTAGCAATGACTGCAAATATTGTCAAGTTAAAGTTCATAATCTCTGCAGAATTATTTCAATTATCAGAATATTGCAAATTATTAAGTGTCTACATACATGTGGCCATATAATACATTTCCCAGAAGTGATCAATCATGAAAACAATGACCATGATGACAGTGCGTGATATGACTTTTACTGAACTTGAAATTCTGCACAAATGTGTTAAAACTAAGCTTTATTGTTGGCACCGATAGCCCTGTGGGCAGTACGCTGACATTTGGTGCAGTCGTGCTTTGGGTATTGCAAGTTTGAATTCTGGGCTCGCAGACTCTTCCCGATCCCATCTCTCCCACTAGCTTCCTGTCAATTATCCACTGTCCTATCAAATAAAATGAAAAAAAAAGCTTTAGTTTTACTTCAGCAGTCAGCAATTTGAGAACAGAATAGAATGAGTTTCAATTCACATTTTTCAAGACACTGGCATCATCCATAGCAACAAGGTCAACCCCACCCTTACTCTGAGCTTAATACTTCTATTCCTTAGTCAAAGTTTGTCTCAGCAGCTTTGTGAATAGGTTTAAAGAAGAAATAAAAAAATATAAAAATAAACCAGTCGAGGCCAGTCAATGTAAGATAATTTTGTTTGTGAATACGGCCTCTTGTCTGTTATGTTGCACATTGCTGTGTGTATGAGTGTAAGGGATGCTAAAGGGTTCGGTTATGCCGAGTTCACACTGCACGATTTTAGCCCGATTTTTCACTCGCTGACAGGTTTTGCGAAATCGCCGACAAATGCACGACATCGGAGGCAAATCGGTGCTCGTTCACGCGAGTGACAATCACGCAGTGTGAATTATCAAAGACG